GTGGGCTTGAGCCTCTCTGGTTCAATCTCGAGCCGATTAAATGTGTCCCTCGGCATGACATTCGCACTGCTCCCGGGATCGATCAGAACTCTGCGCACCAGGCAGTCCGCCACTGTCAAACTGACTACCAACGGGTCTTCATGGGGGATTTGAACAAGCTGCAGTTCTGTCCTGTCGAACTTTATCTGTATCGATGTGATCTGCTGGTGTAGAGTATTCACACTGCTGACCCTTTTCTTCATCTGCGCCTGCCGTAGACGCGCTCGGAGCAGCTCATCTGAATCTTCGCTGGGCTCGGGTCGACCGTGGATAGCATTGATTATACGAACTGGTTCTGAATTGTGGGAGCTTTGTTTATGGCTCCTTTTTACTTGTTCTATCGGTCGATTCTGCTCTGTCGCCGAGCCTTGAACATAACCCGCGAACTCCCCTCTAGCTATCAACATCTCCACTTGCCTTCTCAAATTCCTACATTCATTAGTCTAATGACCGAAATCGGAATGGAAAGCATAATGTTTAGTCTGATCCCTCTGTTCGAGGGGTTACCTAATTGGCAGTGGTGGATGAAACTTATCTTTGTTCTCCTGATATAGCCTCGCCAGAGTGACCTTCAGCGGAGTGATCAGCTCTTCCTCCCTGGACCTCTTTTCTGCCTTCCAGGAGGTCTGACGCTGCGGCTGAGCCTGCTTCTGCCTGATCTTTGCCTTGGACTTTTCCTCGGTCGACACGAGCGACGCTGTCCGAGCATTGGCTGCCTCCTCTTCTTCTAGGCGCACAAAGCCGTCGGCTCTTTCATTGAGTTCATCCAAAGTCGTCGGCGTGTTCACTACCAGACTGGTATGGAACGGAGTGCCACGTGTCATAGCTAACTTAAAGGCTTGAACCGATGTAGAAGGGTGGCATTCGATCACCATACTCTTAGTGAGATTAAACCTGGTGAGAAAAGCCTGGAGACGTTCATCTTTGTGCTGTCTCATTGTGAATAGGCTTGAGATGTCCTTTGGCGGACGCTTGTTCCCATAGTACTGACTTATGAACCGATCGCACAGATCTCGGAAGCTACCAATGGAACTCTTAGGCAAGTTCTTGAACCAGCTGAGCGCCGGTCCAGCTAGGCTTGTAGGGAAACATTTGCACATTAAAGCATCGTTTTCCGTATTCAGGGCCATCTTCAACTGGATATGGTACACATGATCGATCGGATCGGTTGTTCTGTCAAACAGAATAAATACTGGTATAGCAAACTTCCTTGGATGCGGGGCATTCAGGATCTCGTCAGTGAATGGTGAATCAACCGTTCGAGCTGCGGATCGGAGCGCTTCATTCTCTCTTTGGCGCCCAGTGGTAGCTCTGTGGGCTACGGTTTTGCTCTCCGAACCGCGATGAGTGATTGTAGCCATGGAGGGCCGGTAGGACGGATCGAACGACCGTTCCTCTATGAGCTCTCTTTGCCAAGGCGACGCAACTTGGCGGCGATCAACCTCTATCACCTCCTCTCGGTTGAACCTTTCCCAATGCGGATCTAAGGTCATGGCTTCGTTCTGTCTGATCTGCTCATGTCGCGGATCAACGTGAGTCGATCCTTCGTGATCCTCAACTCGACGAGCATTTGGCGGTAAATCATCCATCCTTCTTTCATCACGGTGGAGAGCTGACTGACTGTTCTCGTTCTGCTCGCCTTAATGCGCGATATTAGATTGAACACCTCCTTCTCCGGCCGGAGGTGGACGCGAAACCGCGGGCATTTGCTGATGTTGCATTCCAGCTTTCAATTCTGCATTCTCTTTTTTGAGAGCCTCGATCAAGTTCATCAACTCCTCAAGCTTTGTTTGCTGGACAGCCTCCATCGGATTGGAGCTTTCACCTATCATTATTCTTGAACGGAGTAAAGGCATTAATCTCAAGTTCGCGAGTAGATCCGAGCTTCGTGAGTGGGAATTTTTCAGATCTGGTTTCGAATTCTCCGAATTATGCTCACGGTTGACGAGATCTGAATTGTCCGAATTCTAAATCCATCAGATCCTGCCACAATCGAACAACTCGTTGTTGCGTAGATCTGAAGCCACTTCTGCCAAAGCTACAGGAACTAAAATTCCTCCAGAGTAGGTCACAATCGCTCAGATCTGGATCCAACTCCCAAAGATCGAGTCTCGATCACCCGAATTGGTCTGAATCCACGCGATATTAATCATTGATCAACCAATCTTCCATGATTCCCACAGACGGCGCCAATTGAAGATACAAAAAATTCCTTCCCTCTTTCTCTCTCTAGAATTCTTGTATTTCAACCAAAAAAATATCTCCCCCTTCTTTCCATTACTTCTCCTATTTATAGATATTTACAAATGTTGATGGACTGCTGGATCTAGGCCCGTTCCTCCATGAGTCCTGGTCATCTTTGATGGGCTTATTCGTGTTCGGCCCATATGGCAGTGTCTTTCTATGGGCCTGACCCATCTGTACGGACCGGATGTCGCGTTTGCAAGTCATATCCGGCCCATGTCATCTCGGGCCTCCTCAAATTAAAATTGATAAAATTTGAGAAAAATAATTAAAAAAATTGAACCATCCGATTTGAAGCTATCATCTTATGCATGTTAATTGATAGTAAAAATTTAAGGGATGAAAAACAATTGAATAGAATAGTCATGATGAAAAAAAATCAAAAAAAAAAAAAAAAAAAAGAAAAAAGAAAAAGAAAAAAGTCGGTGTCAGAGAGGGAGGCTGCTAATTGTCATCTTCAAATTTCCATCCAACCGACTGGCAAATTTCTTACTAATTCTCATTTTCAACTTGATTGCAACGTCGAAGGACATTGTAGGCCCAAAAGATGATAATGGCACTAACGGACTAGACTAGACTTTAATTGTGTGGTATTTGACTTTTCTCCTGAATTTCATATAAATATATGACAGATTCATACTCTTGTTTTAAGCTGATTTTTCTCCTTTTTTTATTAACTTTCATACCGAGAGATTGGAGAGTTTGGCTATTGAAATTAAGAAGATAAGAGAGAATGGCTGAGAGTGTAATAACTTTTCAACAAAATTCATAACTGTATATCAACACCATTTTTTTTTTTTTTTTTCCACAAAATTCATGTTCTTGTAATTTTATTTATCAACAAGGTGAAATTAAAGATTCAAAGAAATTCCAAATTAGTTTTTAAAAATCACATAAAAAAAAATTCAAAGTATAAAATAGAAAAGAAAAATTAAAAATAAAATTCCATTCGCATCATCTTCCAAATTAAACATTATTAATCGCATGGGGAAAAAAATTCTAAACTTAAACTCAAATTTTACCATTTCCATTACTATTATCAAGGAGTTTAAAGGTTCATGAAGTTTTAATTGTTATTCAATGTTTTCCATACTAACAAGATGAGTTACATCGTTCAATTCTATTATTTCTTCAGTTGTGGGATCTTGTATTATTATTTACAAAGAACAATTTCAAACCCTAATAAGAGAGAGAAAAGAAAGTTTATACAAAGTATAGAAAGAGTTGAGAGACAGGAAGAGAGAGAAAAAGAGGGGTTAACAAAAAAAAAAAAAAAAAAATTCAAAAATGTTAATTGAAAAAAGGGATTACAAAAAGCTCTTATCAATTATCATAACTGAAAAGTATAGTTGTGATATTTGAAAAAATAATTATTAAATTATAATTATTAGGACCAGTTGCAATCCCTCACACACGTGACTGCTTCAAATATAGGAAGGATCACCTGCGTCGTTCATCATGTGCATGTTGATTGATAATTTGGTATTGTAAAAGGGTGTTATTGTAACTCAAGACGAAAGATAGTGTGAGAGTGCTGGGTCAACATTGGTGTGCTCTCAGAATTCCAAAATCATCTATTTCCACCTACACAAATTGGTCCCAATCCATCTATTTTCAATGGCACAAGTTGATGATATTAGTCCAGTCTAAAGCAATTGTCCACCCAATTCAAAACACTGATTGAGTGATTGTCCTTAGTAATGTTAATTAAGCTACATATTTCGTACAAAAAAAAAAAAAAAAAAAGATAGGTATCGGCCATTTGATTAGAGGTCTGATTTCAAACCTATCATTATGTGTGATATCTCGCATTGACAGTGTTGTGCATGTTTGGTAATCATCAAGGTGTTATTTTTTGTTTGGAAAGTGTTTGGTTGTCGTAAAATATTTACGAATAAAAAAATATTAAAATTTAATTAAAATAATTTATTTATTAATTTTTAATAAATTATTTTATATGCTCCATCCGATAGACTCGATCGGAACTTCGACCTAGTTCTTTACAAAATATAAAAATATATATATAAAAGAAAAATAAATATTTTACGTTGGAGCTCAAGATGAAAAACAGTTGTTTTATGGGTGTTCTGCCGACACTTGGCAAGTACTCAGCAATTCCAATGCAATCTCTAGTCCTAAGCGATGTTAAGCTATAGAGGTCCACTGTTTGTTTTTGTGATTCACTTACTACTTCAATCATCGTGTATAATTTTTCGAACTATCGTCAATCATTTTGGGAGGTTGAAGAATATTTTCTCACAAGTCACGACCACCCATATAGACAAATTTAATGCTTAGCCTTCTTAATCATGTTTATTTAAATGCATAGTCTTGGTTGAGTTTCTAAAAATTTGTTTCCAAAAATTCAAAAAATAAAAACTGTTATGCAATGATTAATAATCATAGAAGACAATTATTTGATATAATGTCTTTATTAATGGAGTTTTGAGAAAAATAAATTCAAAGCAATATTTTTTTGAATCAGTTACGGTGTAATCAAGGTTTCAATGTTTTTGTACAATGGAATTGATACATCCACTTAAAATTGATTCCAGCTCAAAATCACCAATTGCTGGTCCCCACGATCCGATCCATCTACTTCTACCGACACAAAACCATGAAATTAGTCCCACTGCTCTAAATCAATTGTCCAAACAATGTCCTATCAAGATTGTCCAAATTTTATGCTAATTGAGTTATAGAAGGGCTCATTTAGTAATTACCACTACTACACTTCATCATTTAATTAAATACATTTCAGTCAGCTTCATCCTCTTGCTTTTTCTTTCACAAAGCTGTCTTTTGTCATAGTTGTCTTTCAGACTCGGTGCCCTTTCCACTTTTTATTCCAAAGAAAGTCTTCCCACACAATTGGGAAATTGTTGGAAATTCCTTCTCAATCGATCTTTTGTTCTCTTGATAGAATGGATGAGAGCGTAGTAGAATTTCTGCTCAATCACTTGACCATCTTCATTCAACAAGAGTCAAGCCTCTTGGGAGGAATAAGGGAAGAAGCTGAGTCCATCAGAGATGAATTGGTGAGCATGAGGGCTTTCCTCAGAGTAGCTGATGAAAAACAAGATATTGACCCACAGCTCCAAGCATGGGTTGAGAAAGTTCGTGATGTTGCCTATCACACCGAAGATGTGCTTGACGAATTCATGCTCCGCTTCGCACGTTATCATCATGGGGATGGATTCTATGGTTTTCTTGGTAAGATTTCTTTTTCTATTAAGAACTTGAAAGCTCGCCATCGAATTGGTTCTGAGATACGTAAAATAAAGTCCAGAGTCGAAAATATACATCAAAGATACCGTGATGGATTTAGTATCTCAGAGCATGGATCAAGCTCCACCGTTGACAACACATGGTATGATCGTCGAGGTGATGCACTTCTACTAGAAGAGGCTGAGCTTGTTGGCATGGATGGGCCCAAGAAACACCTGATTGGGTGGTTTCTGGATGACAGTCCAAGACTCAGAGTCGTTTCGGTGGTGGGGATGGGGGGTATGGGAAAAACCACCCTAGTAAAGAAAGCCTATGATGATATGGGGGTGAAGAATCGTTTCCAATGTCATGCTTGGATCACTGTTTCTCAATCATTTCATCTCAGAGAGCTTCTCAAAGACGTAGTTCGAAGACTCTTCGATGAAGCCAAGCAACAGGCCCCTCAAAGTTTGGAAACCATGGACATCAATGACTTGAAAGCAAAAATTAAAGATTTCCTCCAACAGAGAAGGTACGTGCTTGTTTTAGATGATGTCTGGAGCATAAATGCATGGGATGCTTTGAAATATGCATTCCCTGACAACAATAGTGGCAGCCGAATACTGCTCACGACCCGTATTGTTGGTGTAGCTTCTACGTCTTGCGTAGAATCTCTTGATCACAACTATACTATGAAACCACTGTCCCCAAAAGAGTCTTGGACTCTGTTCTGTAGGAAGACATTCCAAGGCAACCACTGCCCTCAACATTTAGAGGAACTCTCATGAAGTATCTTACAAAAGTGTGAGGGCTTGCCACTTGCGGTTGTGGCAATTAGTGGTGTTTTGGCTACGAAAGACAAAAGTAGAGTGCATGATTGGGAATTGTTTTACCGCAGGCTTGGTGATGCTCAGTTAGAAGTCCACGACAAACTTGAGAGTATGAAAAATATACTCTCTCTGAGTTACTATGATTTGCCTTACTATCTAAAAATATGCTTCTTGTACTTGGGTTTATTCCCTGAGGATTACGAGATTGAGCGCATGAGAGTGATTCGACTGTGGATCGCAGAAGGATTTGTGAAAGAGATAGGGGGAATGACAATGGAAGAAGTTGCTGAAGGCTATCTCAATGAGCTTATTAATAGAAGTTTGGTCCAAGTGGCAAAGATAGATGGTGTTGGAAGGCTTAGAGAGTTTCGAATCCATGACCTTTTCCATGAAGTAATTATTTCAAAGTCAAGAGAACAAAACATTGCTGCCATAGTAAGCAAAAGAAGCACAACATGGCCGGAAAAAGTTCGCCGCCTATCAATTCAGTATACCTTGGGGAACTTGAAGCATACAAATCGTTTTTCTCAACTCCGTTCATTGCTCATGTTTTCGGTGGAAGAACCTATATCCAAGTCGTTGAATCCTATATTATTCAATGGTGGGGTTAGGTTGTTGAAGGTTTTGGACCTGAGGGGTGCTTCTTTGAAGATACTTCCAAATGAAGTTGGCAAACTATTTCATCTCAGGTATTTAAGCTTGAGGAGAACAGAGGTTGAAACGCTTCCGAAATCCATAGGTAAGCTTGAAAACCTTGAAACTTTGGATCTCAAAAACACCAATGTAACTGAGTTGCCTGTTCAGATCTTAAAGCTCCAGCGTCTTCGTCATCTCTTGGTGTACCGCTACAAATTTTTTTTATATAAATGGCTTTAAAACAATAGTGGGAATACAAGGCTTGTCTTCCTTACAAAAACTTAGTTATATTGAAGCGAACCATGACAATAGTAGAATTGTAATGGGAGAGCTGGGGAGACTAACCCAGCTGAGGAGATTGGGGGTTAGGGAGTTAAGAAGGGAGGATGGGAAGGCTTTGTGCTCCTCTATTGAAAAGTTGAGTAACCTTCAATCATTGAACGTAGGTTCTGTAGAAACGAAAGAGATTATTGATATACAACAATTGCCTTCTCCTCCTCGGTCTCTTCAACGACTCGTTTAGAAAATTTGCCGCATTGGATTACTTCTCTTCATAACCTGGTGAGATTGCGGCTTGGGTATAGCAAGTTAAGGGATGATCCATTGCAATCCCTTCAAGATTTGCCCATTCTGATAGAAATTGTACTTTTTAAGGCTTACCGAGGGGAGGAAATGTGTATCAAATCGACAGGGTTTCAGAAGCTTAAGATATTGGAGCTTTACAGCTTAGAAGGATTGAGGTGGGTGAGAATGGAGAAGGGATCATTGCCTCATCTTGAAAAGCTAACTATTGGGAACTGTGAGTTGGTGGAAGAGGTACCCACTGGCATTGAAAATCTAACCAACCTTAAATCCCTTGAGCTCTTGAATATGACATTGGATCCACACAAACAGGGTGGGGATTATTGGAAAATAGCACACATCCCCAATATTCAGATTTCTTGAACTTTCCTGGATAGTCGTTGGGTTGGAGATAATCTAGAGAGAGAGAGAGAGAGAGAGAGGGAGAAGAGTCCTTGCAAAATTGAGATCATTAATACTTTCTTGAACAGTCACCTAATATTTTCTTTTATTTTATTTTTTAAGGATAACTGATTTGTTTTTTCTTTTTCCCTTTTGTAAGTGATTTAAGTTGTTGTATATTATGTTACATTGGTTAAAAAAAATAATAATAATTTGTTACAGCATATTGATTTTCTTATTTAAAAATTAAAACAAGGTAATACTTACACAAATTCCGAAGATTATGACTTATCCTGAGTTTGTTATGATATTATAGATTGATTATCTTCTTCAAGTTCTCAATGAAGATTTAGCGTTTTTCTGGCCAGTTCTGATGTGAATGCCACAGGCAGGTTAAAGAAAGTCACGTGAAAGTAAATGCGATAGCAAATTCCTTAGGTAAAGGGAATTTTTTTAAAAAACTAAAAAACATAGAAAGTGCAACACAGGTGCATAATTAAATTACATTAAAAGATTACTTGATGTACAAAATACACAAGTGCATAATTAAGTTTCATTAAAATATTACTTGATTATCAATACCCACATATTACATATATTGTTACATGTGTTGTATTTAATCCAACCATAACAAACTATTATTTATGTTGTGGTGGAAATATGGAATTGGATTTTTTTATTATTATTATTATTGAAATTTAGGGAAATTTAGTTTTAAGCCCCCATTTTTTTTTTTTGTAATGTTGTCCAATTTTGTGTAATCTGGATACAAAAATGTTGAACAATATAGCAGAAGGTTCCAGTTTTTGTCTTTGTTGTTCATTGATTAAGGCAAGGTAGTGTTTGGAGGAGCCCTTCAAGGAGAAGGCATTTTGATACCGAACAAGTGACGTTAGAGACATGGAGATTGAGAAGTCAAGGTTCCAAAACTATTGCAATTTAGTTCAAAGTTCAGGTTCACAAGACCTATAAGATTGAACGAAAAACATGAAACAAGCTCTAGAATATTTGTCCATCTCATTTACCAGATTAGAGCTATTTTGAAATTCCAAATTAGGCAGTCTCAATTGATTTTAACTAATTTTTTTTATAGTCACCTAATTTCAAGTAATTTTTGTTTAGGGTCAATTCAGAGTCAAATGTTCCCACTTTTGGTGGGTCCTCTAATTTGGTGATTTAAAACTTAAGGTTAAGTGCATAAAATCTCCCTAAACCTTGAGCCAATTGCAATAAATTCATCTGAACTAAAAATAACCTCTAAATTATAATATTGTTGCAAATAAGGACAATCCCGTCAACCAACGTTTAACCAAAAAAAAAAATGACATTTACCTTTTTGCCCATAATAGAATGACGACATTTCATTGTGTTTTAAGTTTCAAACGTTAATGTGGCCCCTGGTGTCTCCACAGCCAATAGAAAATCGACAACACAAATTTATTACTCTTTCCAATTACCACACACAATAATTCTTCATCTGAATCACGATTAATCCTATTCTGTAAAACCCTAACTAAAAATTCTCTAAACACCCTTTATTCACACTCCAGAAGTCTGACTTTTGATCCAAAATTCAAACCAATTCTTGAAATTTTCTATAAATTTTTGTGAATTTAAAAAAAAAAAATCCAATATTTTTATTTTGGAGTTGGATTGGAAGATGGGAGTAAAAGCGAAGATGATTGAATACAAAAGAGGCGGGTGAGGATGCGAGAGACGAGGATAATGTCGGAGTGGGAAGTGGGTTCAGAGGAAGGTGATGAAGAACAGAGCCTAAATGTATTATATGTGTATATATAATGAGACAGAGAGGGGGATGCTAACTCAAAGAGATTGGATTTTGGCTTTTCTCGTTTATTTATTTTTACTAAATATTAGATCTTTCTTAATACTATTAAAATGCAATTTGATTTACAATGATACAACCATGGAAGGTTCCAAGTACAGCGTATCTGTATTGAAGATGGAAAGAGAAAAATGGGTTAAACGGGTTGACCTTTGTTAACGGGTCATAAAGGGTAAAATTATATTTTTCAAAAAATTGTTTGCCCACCTGACTTGTGTCCGTTAGCAATTATACAGAAGATTAATGAAATGGGAAATTTTGCAACAAAATGAATAGTTTAGGGGTTAAGTGTCTAAATGATAGTTTAGAGGGTTTTTTAGAAAAAAGAAGAAAGTTCAGGGGGGTTTAATGCACTTAACCCTAAAACTTATTGTTAATTTTTCGTAATGGTAAATTTATAAGGTTTCCTCTATAAATAGTTGTAGTTTTGTGAATAGTGATTTTTGATCAATTTTTCTTAATATCAATTCGAGTATTCGAAGATGACAATTAAAACTTATTGTTAATTTTTCGTAATTAAATGTAGTGGAATGATCGGAAGAAATTCCCAGGTATATTACAAGTATCCAAAAATTGAATTTGGAACTCAAATTACATTGAAGCTTTCGAGCACCAAAAATATCAGACTTACCATTGTTTGATGTTGGGAGGTCCCAAAACTTCCACCACATTGCCTTTGCAAAGGCTCATCCAAACACTACCTAAATCGGCATCTTTGTAACGAGAAAGTATACAAGGGTGTAGAATGCACATTCAAACTTTTTGTTACAAGAATTCTCATTTCTCATGCATTAAGGCAAATTAAGAGCTTCACGAATGTACATTAAGCGGAGTATAAGTACCCTTAAATCAGCTGGTGATATGTAATTTGTTTCACCTCGAGGTATCAAGAAGTCCTTCCACACACTACTTAAATCCGAACTTCAAATGAAAAAAAAATCCAACATCTAATGGGTGGGTGTAGATGTGAAAAACGAATCCCAACAAGTTACATTTAGCTTTTAAAATAAGTATTCTTTCTTAAAATTTTGAGTTATTTAACAACTATGATCATAAATTCACCCAAACCATCAATCAATAATGTAAAGGAAGTAACCGAAAAAACACACCATATTTATATGTAAGAAATCTCAGTGATAAAAAATCACAAAATTAATAATCCATATTAAAGCAATCTACTAGCTAGATTGCAGTTTTGGTTTATCAAGTTAATGGACGATCCATTTCAATCCCTTCAATATTCCGTTAGAATTGTACCTTTGAAGGCTTACCATCATTCAGGCAAAGTTGACATCTTTGCTAAGGGTACCTAATATTTTCTTTTCTTTTCTTTTATTTTTGTAGGATTATTGATTTGGTTTTTCTTTTTCATTATTTAAGTAATTAAGTTTATGTATTATTGTGTAACATTGGTCACAAGGAAAAAATGAAATAATAATTTGCTATAGCATATTAATTTTCTTATTTAAAAGTTAAAACAAGGAAATGCTTGTTTAATGAAAGGAAATGCTTGTTTAATGAGAATAATTGAAGCTTGTCTAATGTCACTATGATAGTAGTCTGCAGCTACATACACACATGATCATTATGAAAATCATATAGTTATGTTTATCATAGTTCACTTGGAGTGTTATGAAATGAAGAAATGATTGATTTTATTGCAGAAAGGGTCATCGCGTGTGTTAATTGGATGAATATTTGAGGCAATGTTGTTTCTTACTGCTTCTTATTAGTGCCTAGCTCTGGATTTGTGAGGCGAATTTAAAGAGTGACCCAATGGAGCTTCAATATTGATTATCTTCATCATAATTTTATAAAATATTAGTTCTAAAATCCACTGTGTTCAAATATTCTTTTGCTTTCGTTGCAAAGTAATTGTTAAATTCATGAAATAAGCTGTCATTTTGTAGAATAAATTATCCATGTGTCACCCCCCCTTTGATACATAATTTTATAAATATTATCTTTACTTGTATAACATATTCTGCCAGCCAAACAAAAAACACATTGTAATCGCGGTGTCAATGACCACCTCATTGTTACGACTCCTTCCTCCCACATTCCCTATAGTTATATTCAGCTTGTGGTTCTAACTAATAAACCAAATTTGGGTCATAGACCACTACGTAGTTTCGTTTGGGTCTTTATTGGTATTTTAAATTTTCATTTTCATTTTTTTGCAATTTTATTTTCAAATTAAGAAAAAAAAATTAAATATGCGGTGTTAAGTTGTGGTGTTAAGAAAAGAAAATAAATAAAATGTAACAATAAGCTTTAGTATTAATCGTTTTTTATTGTTTATTTTTCGTGCAATATATTACAGTAAAACATGGTGCCTAAATAATATATTTCACTTTTATTGCGCTTACAATAATTAAAGTTTTGGATTTCACCTATTAGTGACTTTAAAATTGAGGAATTATTCTCTAGATATTCTTATTTATTCATTTAATTAATTAATTTTTTTTTTTTTTTTTTTTTTTTTTTTTTTTTAACAAGGCAACGGCTAATTGATTTTCATTTAAATCTGACGATGATCCATATTTTCCATAGATTAATATTTGGTAAATTACACACTGACATCCTATGTGCAATTTATTCAGATCTCAAAGGAGGTCTAATTTACCCTTAATATTTTGTTCCATTTTTTAAAAGTTTCACTGTTTTACCATTCCTTACCCTTACCATTCCTCTCTCTACGTAGCCTTTATTCCATAGTACCAATACCACAGAAAATAATACTACGTATATAGTTATAGAAAAGAAAGAAAAGGTTTTCATGACATGACAAGAAATATTGTTTTAATCTAAATCTCTCTTCCATTTTTACTTTACCAATAATTATATATATAACTTTCTTTTCAAATTAATTGGTTGATTATAAAATTATTTCATAATTGTAACATTGCCAAATATGAAACCTTCAAGAACACCACAAAAGCACCAAAATTCAACGATTCCTTTCGTATTTGAATAACTTATTCTACCAACAACCTAACAAGAGTGTTTAAATAATGAGGACAACTAAGTTTACCTACCAATTTCATTAAATTAACAATAGAGGGTATGATAACTAAAATTCAAATATTTTCTTTCATTAAACAATAGAGGGTATGATAACTACCACATTCAAATATTTTTTTGCTTTCGTTGAAAAGTTATTGCTAGATTCATTGGCATTTAGCATACCTCTAGCTTTTTCTTTAACAAAGCTGTCTGTTATCATAATTTGCTAGAGGGTATGATAACTAAAATTCAAATATTTTCTTTCATTAAACAATAGAGGGTATGATAACT